TGCTGACATTAAAAAGCCTCAAGAGAACAAGTGTGTGGAAGCACCACATTAAATGCATTTGTATTCATTTTTTCCTAAATTAGCAGGGTAGATCTTTCCTGGCAGAGCAGGTCTTCCTTATCATATCTAATCATACCTTACTAGCAGCACAAGGGGAGTCTCAGACCACAGTCCCAGGCTCCCCCTGCACCAACAAGTAGCAAACTCCCACTCATTAGCCTAGTCAGCTGAGGAGGCTTGCAGCCAAGGCAGCATCTCACAGCTGAGGAGGCTCACAGCCGGGGCAGTGCATGGTGCACCCCTGCAGCTGGGAGCTCTGTCAACAGATGGGGCTCCCAACCATCTTGTCACATCTCCCAACCATCTGGAGCATCTGGCCACATGTTTAATTAATGGCACAATAAGTATGAGCCACAAAGGCATTACACATTTTTTATGGAACTTTGTGGCGTATTCCTTGTTTTATCACGCCATTAAAGGATGGTACATGTGGCCGTGTCATGACTTAAGGCATAATTAACTGGTTAATCATGCCTTAAGTGTAATGTATAGATTGGGCTTAAGTATGTTAGCATGCAGGCAACCTCCCCCACTCCATGAAAGGAGCACTATAGAAACAAGGACATGAGATGCTATGTCACCGTAGCAACACATTATAAAAATTTCTAGCTAAAAATGAAATGCAAGCACAAGTCCATAAATATGTGACCAGAGGTGATCAAAGAATGTCCATCTTTAACCAAAAACAATCAAGACAAGATATAAAGGTGGCAGTTTATCCGAGTAGAAATCTATTGAGTAAGTAACTTCTTCAACAGCAAAAATGAAATATAGCTGATCTAAACGTATTCATAAAACCCTGAGACATGCCCAATAACAAACTGCCATCTAGTGGCCTAACTGCATTTTCCTAAACTTCGTAAAAAGTAGATTATCTTAACTAAGAAATACAGAGATATTATGATTTTACATACTAAGGGTTGCTGTATTCCTCCCCATTCATTAACCTGTGAAAAATACATGCATTCATTTTTACAGTTAAAATCCACAGTAGCCAATACTACACAGTAAATACTAGAAAATTAGCTACTCAGCAACATAATGCAATCTCATCTCCTGAAGTTACACATGGTATCAAAGCAACAGTTTACAATCATTTGAAAATTCTCATCAGGTTAAGGGATCACAAAAACATGGTTTTCTAATTTCAGTCAAATTATTTTAAATATTTGGGGAAAGCTAACATTTAAAAGGCCCTTAAGCTAACATAAGTGTACTTATTTTCTTCAAATACTTGTATGCAGCTAATGCCATACAAGCATTTGAAGAAAATAAGGGTGTGGATGCGTGCACATAACAATTGAACCCTTCCCAGTGGCACTGAGTGGTAACTAGGGGTGTGTGAAGCTTCGGTCGCCGATTCAATTCTGAGAAGATTTGGCCTGATTCAGAGGTCAAATCACTGAATCCGACTCGGCAGACCAAAAAAACCCACCTCCAAATCGATTCGAAGCCTCCAATTCAATTCAGAAAAGATTCAGAAAAAGATTTGGAGATTCAGAAGGCAGTCTTTCAGGGGAACAGAAACTGAGAAGAGAGAGGGGGAGCAGAGGGGGAAAGACTGACATCAGTAGCTGGCCAGTGACTGATCTTTCCCTGAGTCCCCTTCCAATCACAGTGCTCTGGGGGAGGGACATAGAAACATCACATTAGCCTCTGTCTGCAGCCTTTCTGTCCCTTTTGTGAGCTGTTTCTGCCTGAGCACCGGGAAGGCTCCTATTACAGGCTACCAACCTGGCTGGTTTCATCCTGCTGTGTCTTAACACACACGTCATGAGTTTTACTTTCAGAAGCTTGAGATGCAGTTTCCCAGAAACCTCTAAATCTCTCTCCTTGAAACTTGTCAGGCTTCATGCCCTCAGAAGTGGCTACCATCCCTGCTCTTTTCATCCAAATCTGCCAAAAAACGACAAAAAAGCTATAGGTATTTCAGTGATTCCCCATTCTAGTCTATGGCCGAATCTCCGAATCTCTCTGAATCAGCGCTGAATCTTCCGAAATCAATTCAGCCGAATCGATTCAAGACAGTGATCCGAATCTCCAAATCGAATCACTGTCCTCCAAATTGGCTGAATCCGAAGCCAAATCGAATATTTCCCTATTTGTACAGGCTTATTGGGAACCAGTTTCCAATTCTGTTAAGTGTTGCAGCTCTGACACCACAGGTGGGAGTGACCACCTAGCCCAGTGGGCATCAGGGGAAAGAGCTTGTGACCATGTCTTGTGGGGGTCAAAGAGTAGGGTTCCCATATCCTGTACTATCACTATAGTAAAATAAATTCTAAATATCTATAAATTTTAGCTTGTGATTTTCGTTTTTTTATCATTGAAAAATCAGAGCTCTCCCTGCCCCCCTTCACTCATCAGGACATGGGTCCAGGTGCGATTGTCCCGCCCCACCTGCCCCGCAAACCCCCACTGCTTTGTGATGCTGAGCAGCCCTGATATGCCAGTGTCCTGCCCTTGCATTGCCCCTCACTCCCAAGCCATAGCTCCACCCCCACCCTCAGCCTGCTGTTGCCCCTCACTCCCCACACAGCCTCCCACCCCGCCATCCCTGCCAGAGGGGCCCCCAGCTGCCAGGACTATGGGGCCAAGGTGCCAGATCCACACCCCCTTGCCCACTGCAGCAGCTCCCAAACCTTCACTGCCACCCATAGGAGGCAGCGGCTTCTGTGGCCCCAGTGGGTAGAGGAACCCAGTTCCCCATCTCCGATGGATGGTACGGCCGGAGCAGAGCCTGTCAGATGGGGCAGCGGGGGGGCAGGAGGGGACTGCCTGCTACAGAATTGGGCTCCCCGCTCCTTTGCCCTCCCCCCCGGGGCCTCCGCATCCTAGCAGGCAGGACCCAGCACAACAGGGCAGAGCAGGGCCAGGTGGGGAGGCTCAGTGCCACCGCCACAAGTCCTGTGCTGCCATGGCAAGGTGCCCCCTGCCTACCCAGCAGCAGTGGGTTGGCAGTGTGGGACTGCGCTCTCTGCTGCCACCAGGTAGGCAGGGGGCACCTCTCCATGGCAGCATGGGTCTCGTGGTTGGTGGCAGCTCCCCACCCAACACCACCCTGCTCTGCCATGTCAGGTGCCACCCACTGGGCCATGGAGGCCCCACGGGGAGGTCAGCAGGGCATGGAGGTCAGCCTCCCACTGGCCCCCAGTCTGCAGCCCCATCCCACTCCCCACCCGGGCCCTGCAGTCACACACAGCCCCAGGCCCCACGCATCACCCAGGCTGGGCAGAAACCCCAGCCCCGCCCAACTTCCTTCTCTCCCTCACTATGGGGGCCTCAATCCCACCCCTCCCCCACTAGACTTACCTGCAGGAGCTGCTCTCCAGGCTGCCTGGCAGCCATGCGCACACAAACATGGCTGCCCTCCTCCTGCTCCCTTCAGCCCCTTGCAGGCTGGAACTCTGCTAGCCTGCAAGGGGAAACCTACCTTAACCCACATTTTGCTCGTTTAAAGAAGAAAATCTAAGTTTTACCACATTTTCCCATTGCAAATGGACAACCCAGATCCCTGCTTATAACAGGGAGAGGTTTGGCTTTAAGGTACAAACATACCAGCAAACTTACTCCAAGGCACAAGGAAAAGCAGTACTTCACATGAATTGCTTCATAGCAACTGTCCCAATATATGCTTGCCCTGTGTTAAGTGGAAGCCAACAGCTTAGCACTCAACATAAAAAGAGGTAAGTTACCATGCCTGGGCTTCCTCTTACAACAGGAAAGATGTTCTGCATGCAAACTGATGGCTCTAGCAAGGCTCCCCTGTTTACACCTTGAATTTCTACTGCCAATGGAATCAGAACTTGTGGTAGCGGTGATATCTTTTATTAGACCAACTAGATTTTTGCAAAAAAAAAAAAAAATTCTTTAAATTGCAAGCTTTTGGGCACAAGCACCTCTCTTCAGGCATACAAGAAAAGATTGTAAAAGTTCTCCTAGGTAAAAAAGAAAGTTCATACTTCATAGGAGAGTTAAAGGAGTGGTAAAATCTCATGTTTGGAACAGTTTGTTTTATGCGGGTTAGGCTCAGAGAAAAGTTGGAATAGTCTGTTTATAGTCTGTTTTCTGCCAATGGAATATTTCAAACAGCATCTCTACACAAACACTTTCCCAGATACAAGGTTAATTTCCTTGTCAGTATATTCCTTGTTTATAATAAAATTATTTAGAATGTTAACTTGCAATCAAGATCCAGTATCTCCATGCAATTGAGAGTCACATGCCCCCACCGTATACACACACTATAAAATATCAGTCTTTCTCTGGAGCTTTTACAGCATAAGGTTTACATCATGTAACACCAGATTGTGTTATAATAGCAAAAAGTTATTCCACCCACCAAAATATTATAGAATCATAGAAAAATAGGGTTGGAAGGAACCTCAGGAGGTCATCTAGTCCAACCCCCGCTCAAAGCAGGACCATCCCCAACTACATCATCCTATCCAGGGCTTTGGCCAAGCCAGGCCTTAAAAACCTCCAAGGATGGAGATTCCACCCCCTCTCTGGGTAGCCCGTTCCAGTGCTTTGCCACCCTCCTAGTGAGAATTTTTTCCCTAATATCCAACCTAAACCTCCCTTGCTGCAGCTTGTGATGATTGCTCCTTGTCCTGTCATCTGCCAGCACTGAGAACAGTCTAGCTCCATCCTCTGTGGAACCACCCTTCAGGTAGTTGAAGTTGCTATCAAATCCTCCCCTCAGTCTTCTCTTCTGCAGACTAAATAAGCCCAGTTCCCTCAGCCTCTCCTCAAAGGTCATGTGCCCCAGCCCCCTAACCAACTGGTGCACTGGTCATTAATCAATGCACCTAAATAACAAAATATGAAGCTTTTTATCCAAAAACTTTTATAACATACTTGCAGGGAAACAGAAGACAATCATCAACCCACAACTGCAAGGCAGACAGAAGGAAAAAAAAAAAAAAAAAACTAATTACCTCTTGCCTATCCTTGTTCTGGTTTGCCCAGAAAATCTTGTGATAAAGAGTTTCCATTGAATTGCTGGAATCTGATCTGTCAAAACAGTGTCGATCCAAAACCTCTAGTGTATGCAAAACTCGGCTGATGGTGACCCCTAGATATGGAAGTTAAAAGACACAGAAAGTATATTGTCTCTGAAAATGGAAAGTTATCAATTATAACATTTTTATCCTACAAAAATGCTAATTATGTTGTGGATTTTGTGGTATGAACAATTGTCCTCTATAAACACAAATTAAGACAAAAGTACATTTCAAAAGTGGTCTCTGAAAGGTTGGTCAGTCAATATGAACCTGGGCTAGATTTGAACCAAATTCCTTAGATTCCTTAGTAATCGCTTGTCCTGTTACGTTCCCCTTAATTATCTGATCAGATAATAAAACGTGATGTGACAAATATGTTTTAGAGTAAAAAATGTATCTAAAGAGCAAGCACATTCTATGTCATAAGAAGTCTATGCACTTCCACACACCCTAAAACCCCAAGCTTTGCTTGCTCTTGTGCATCATCCTCACAGCCCTTCTTGGAACAGCCTCCATCCTTCCACACAAAAGATCTTCATAAACTCCCCCAACAATGAGTTCTGCAAATTGTATATCTCCAGGTGGCCAAGGTGCTTCAGAGCATCTAAGCCTGAAACCTGAATTCCAATAGTCTCTCCACCAAATTCTAAAACTATAGTTACACTACAAGCCCAAAAGTTAAATGAATGCTGGCTGTTTGTTACTTTGTGCCTATATGTCAAATTTGCATCTAGAACTAATTGCAATGAGAAATAATTAAGTCCCCAAAAAAGACCAAGGATCTCAAAATTTACTTTGCATTTCAACTTGCTTTACCTGCTGTTGATTCTTGGCACTTGTCAAAAGACCACCGCACCTCCACAGCACGACCTCTTTGTTTTATCTGCTGTTCTACTTCATAAATCTTTGCCCGAACCTGAAAAGATGATTGTTGCTAATTAGCTGGTAGCTGAGAAATCACAATCCTCATTTCAAGCATGTGTCAGATTTCCTTCTAGGAACAAAGTATCCTACAGTGCACATTAGGGAAACAGTAAGATAAAGTATAGCGTGTTCAACTTTTTCTTTTTTTAAATTGCCTCTAACAAAAGATCGTCTTCTCCAAATAAATACCTGAAGTTCAATTTAGTGGCACTGCACAAATGACAGTTTTGAATCATGAATGTTGCATTATACTGACCAGCGCAATGATTCTCTTCTTATTTGCTGTGTCTTTACATATAATCTGTTTCATTCAAGATCATTACTTTGAAAACATTATCAATACTTCATTTCAGAGTCACAGTGCCTTAAGGTATGCTGAATGGTTTGGACTGAAGGTGCAGACCAGTAAGCTTATCATAAATAACAATTCAAAAACTGGCATGCAACTATTCCAAGACCCAAGAGCATAGGTATATATTAACCTGCTAGTTTTAATAAGCATGAGCCATTTTATTTTTTTTTTAAAGGTACCAAGTGGATCTCAGTTATTTAATAAGAAAATAAAAGGCCTACCTGTTGATTAAAAGCTGAATTCCCACCTGGCATAGGTAAACTAGATGGAGCAACTTGAAGTAAATCCAGAGGAGAGCCTGGATTAATGCTCTTATTTTCATTTGTGGAATAATTCCACACCAAGGCACTTGGGCAACAAAGAGTTACAGTCTGCAAGCAACAATGTAAAGTAGTTAGAAGTATTGTCCTAGGATGTGATAAATGACATGAGTTTCAGCTAATACAAACCAAGAGATAGCCTACTGAGCTTCTAGCCCAGAGGTGGGCAAAATATGGCCCACAGGCCAGATCCGGCATGCCAAGGGATTTTATCCAGCCCACAGTGGGTCCCTTGGCTCCACCCAGTCCAGGCAAAGGGGACAGCCTGGGCTGTGGCACATGCGGCCAGTCCCCACTGTCCCCGAGCACATGGCAGGGCAGTGGCAGTATAGCAGCCAAACTCAGCTTCCCAGCAGCCCCTGCAGT